CCACTTAGTTGTCTGGGTTTCAGTGACTCACCCAGTTAATGAGTAAATTTAATTTGCATGGCGAGTTCGTCCTTGTGATTAATCCTCGTGGTGCAATGTCTTTTTTCGTCTTATTCTTCACGGATTTCAAGTTATTTTTCTTTTATTTAATGACGAATTTAGTTAATTCCTTGGCCTTTTTTCCAAATTAGAGAGCGGATGAAGGGGGCGGGGAGTGGGCGGGGTTTCATGATTGATGGATTGCGGAGAATTCAATTATTATGGGCAAACTACTTTAGTGGTCAATTGCGTGACTCATCTTGACAGGAAAAATTTGGCGCCTCCAGATCGGTAGGTGCTGGTAAATAGGAAAATGACAATGCCTCTATTTGCATGCAACTTTTCGTTTACAGTAAAGATTGACAGAGTTGGGGGGGGGGGAGGTATGTTATGATCATGTAAGTTGCTTTCTCGGCCTTTGTTAGTTCCAAAAATTCGTATTAATCAATTAGCACTGAATGTGGTGGACAAGAATACACTCAGTGATTGAACGGTGGTCAATGCATTCTAAACCTTGGAACTTGATTAAGTAAATTGATCCATGAGCAACTATTGTTCAAACGGAATAAATTATGCAACTTGATATCCTGCCTTAATTCCCAACCATTTTGCGATCCACCCCCTTCGCCGTTGCTGGCTTTTTTTGTTGCTTTCCAAACCTTGAAAAACTACACTTTCCTTTTCGTGCATTTTATTAATCACCATGGTATAAATTGCTTTCTGTGTCGTTGCATTCGCTGGCGCTTTCCTTAAAATTCCATATATAACTATCGACATATACTTGGATTTTATTCTATTTTTACGATGACGAGTTTCCGCGTTACGAATGGAGATATTTAAATTGAAGTCAATGGGAATTCAATTATAACTATATATATATATATATATCAAATGGCAGGCGTCTTGATGGTATCATTAGCCCTTTAGTTTACTTCAGGCTTCACAGAGGGGAAGGAACATCAAATTGAAAAAAGTCGAGAGAGGGAAACAGAAGAGTGTTTCAAAGATGTAAGAGACAAACACAAAGGTAGAACAAAGGTGAGGTGAGTACTGTGAAATATTCGAATATGGCATAGAGTGAGGTGATGGTAGTTTGAAGCGAGAAGTCAACTGCCAGTCAATAGACTTTTTTGCCGTATGAATATACATTGCCCAGGGTGCACCGCGTGGAGGTAAGTCGTCTATCGCACACCCCCTATATATCACTTTATATGGCTACTTTCCTAGCAATCCTTTTGCATTTTAGCGGTCACGTCGATTGAAGTCAATTACACCCACTCTAAAATACGCTAAAATAGTCATGCTGAATTATTTTTAAAATTAAAAGACTATACGATGAGTCTTGAGTTCACCTTAGGGTACCTGGAATTTGAAGCGTCGCGTTCAACTGCTTTAGTTGGTAATCAGGTGAAGATATTATATATATATACAGCATTTCGCACTTGGGTTGTATTTTATTGCCAACCTCCTATCCAAGTAAATCATAATAATGGTTCACTGCTATTCTTTTACTTCACGCTTCTAGCCCCACCCCCACCTCCTTCCCCCCCCCCCTCATTCCAATATTATCTGGCCAAAGTTAGTTTCACATGTGTTATCTTTGCTGCTTTCTTGCGTGCGTGTGTGTGTGTGTGTGTTTGGGGACTCTTGTTTCCGTCGCATTCACACGCTCTATTTTTGTTGTCATTTCGCGGTTTGCCCCCTGCGGTTTCGACTTTCTCTTTCATGTACGTGGTGGGGGGGGGGGCTGGGGGTTACCTGCACAAACCATTTCGAGTTGTGCTTTTTGCTATGAATCACCTCCCAATTCATCAGCCGCCTAATTCCATCAATTCCTGCCATTTTATACAATGGCAGGTGTTAATCCTTTAACGCCCTTAGGAGACCATACGCTGTCCTCTTTCAAGATAAGCTTTATTTGTACTAGATTCCTAACAGGAGGCGCTATTGTCACGTTTGAAATGTGTTCAATACCTGTCTATAGCCTTCACCTGATGCCACCAAAACACATCACGTCAGAGTCAATCTGCTACTATGAGGGACGCGTGAGGGCGGTTGGATGCATTTTTCAACAAATAATTTGGGCGTTAAAGGGTTAATGTTTTTAGTAGGATATTTAATTTGCCATTATGGTAGGTGGAGTTTTGAGTAGGTGGTCTTTTTAACTTCCTTGTCCATACGTAGTTAAACCCTTGGCATTTTTGGAGTCATTGCACCGCACCATCTTTGATTGGCTTTCTTTGTTTTTATCATTCTAATTTATTGCGGTTAATTCGGGTTGGGGGGAGGTTAGTTTATTGCTCCTGAGAAGTGCATAGTGGACTGGATTGTTTTAACGCATTCGTACAAACGCGCCTCAAATGACCCCAGTGCAGAATACGCTTTGCGTAGATCACACCTTAGCCAATTACACTGGGTCAATTACATTCAACGATGGAGGAAGTAAGTCATGCTCAGCTCATTGTACCTCAAAAGGAATTTATCGATTGGCTTTTTCTACAGTTTTCATATGTAATGCATGTTCTATGGGCCCCTGAAGCATTAACTCGGTTGTTGCAATACACTCATATGATGATATGCGATTGGACCGTTAATTGGATTTAGTTGCATTAAGTGCAAAAATAGACCAATAGTACTTTTTATTTTCATCCCAAAAAGTGGACGAGGTGTCGGGGTGCTATTTACCTCCATCTTTGCCCTCCTTGAAATGCCTTTTTTTCCTTCTAATCTAATTTCACTCATCGTCTTTATCACACCACTCACGACTGGTTTGTTAGTCACTCAAGTTTAATGAAAATCACCAACCCCCAACCCCCCCCCCCCCCCCCCCCCCCCCCACCCCCCGCTGGGTCCTATTAACCCATTTTCGCACTACTTTCATCCTCTTATTTTTTTACTAAACGCCATTTATGGCTGTTTGTCAGCATTTTAATTCATTCTCGCAGTATGAGGTAATTTCTTTCTGCTGTTTGCTGCATATTTCTTTTTTTTCTCATTCACCTCTCATTGCAGTTTGTATGCCTTCCAAACACTGCTCCATTCTCTCTTATCGTCCTTGACCTTTTTTCTCATGGGGTCGAGGCGAGACATACGAAGTAGACAGGAGTGAACTAGTTTGGCTGGCTGACGAGTCTAAAATTATCCATCAATTGGGGAGGGAAGACGTGGAGTGGGGGTGGAGGGGGTTTGACTAATCTCACGCTGATAGTCATTAACTGAAAAATTGGAGTGTCGAAATGCATCTGGTTTGGATATCATTTGCACTAAAAGTAGCCTATCTTCCATTAGACGCTTTCAGTTAATTTTGGAAATTCAAATTCTGTTTTTTTCTCTCATCCCCAAGTAGGGGGCTGTGATTGAAATGGTCCAAAGCACTGCTACTCGTCTTATTAGTAGTATTACCCACGGAAGTGCACAAGAATACTCATTTAACTATGCCAAGCAAATGAAATCGGTAGAGGGGGGTGGGGGAGATCCATAAGCGGTGCTGAGAACATCTTCAATAATCACTCGAGTCTTTTGGGTAGCTCACATTCTAAAATGTAATCTTCATAATCCATTCTCCATTTGGCATTGCTGCATTGTCTACCTTGTTTAATTCCTATTGGCTGGTAGTATTTGTACAGGTATGGTCCATCTGATCCTCCTTCAATTCACCTTTTCCCAATGCTTGAGAAAAGGAATGTGACCTTTGCATTATATTTTTCTTCTTACAGTTTTAATGTAGCCGGGATGATATGATTAAAATTGTAAATTAACAATATCTCAGTATATGTTGGTGAGCTAATGAACTTGATATTCGCCCACCTACCTGCTGTGCATATATATACTGGTTGTTGCGAAAAATGTATACATTTAGCAAACTAATTGTGAACTTGGCGTTCAATTAGAATTTTATAATTTCAAAAGCGTAAAAGCATTTTGCAAGTATAATTTTATCGTTTTTCACCTTCTGTTCTCAAACTGTCGTCCATTTTGTTGCAGATATTGTTGACAACGCCAAGCAATGGAATCGCACACGTTCGGAAATAATTCCCTTGGGATTTGACGCATTCATACTCAATGGATTCTCTTACTTCAATTAATTGTTGGGGGTTTCGTAGAGTAGACTTTGTCTTTTAAGTATCCCCATAAGACAAGAATTCAGTGGTGTGAGGTCTGGTGTAAAGTGGGGGAGGGAGGGAGGGAGGGAGGATGTTCAACAAATCCTCTTCGTTCAATCCACCTTCGTTCAATCCACCATCGCGATGGTATTGTGGGGGGTGGCCCATCTTGGCATAACAGACTGCTGCAGAAAGTCCAATTAAATGGGACACCATGCTTACAATCATTCTAAGTGTGTGCGTGCATTTCTTTTTTGGTACACCCAGTATAATGCCAGTGATACTCAACATGCATAGTCTCACTTTTATCATACGTGAAATATCTTTACATAATTCAAACCTCTACTAATTCAGCACACTCTGCTTGTATGCTTTGAATGAGTTAAATTTTGGCTTACTATTTGAATCGGCAATACCGAATTCATTAACAATCTATTATTTATGAGGTATTGGTTGAATTAGGCCATTGTATGTCAGCATTAGGTGAAAATTCTCATTTCAACACTTGGCTCAGGTAAGTGGGGAGTGGGGGGGGGGTGTGAGTTGTATCTCACAGCTCCCCTTATGACAAATTGTCATCCAAGTAGCTCTTTTGTTGACTGGAGCAGACCAGATCGTCCACATTCTTAAGTGCACTCGAATTAACTAGAGGCATTCCAGTTGCTGTAAAGGTCTTAATTTCTTTATAAACTTAACTTTCTTAAATAAAGACTCTCGGCCTTTCAATCCCCCCCCCCCCACTTAATCGACTGCACAAGTCATAAATCACATAGCTGCAGACAAATTGTCTAGACAGAAATTTCAATTCTTTAATATTGCGTCAATATATGTATTTGATGGTTTTTTTGTGTTGTTCTACTTCAGGTTGGCAGAAGAGAGGGAGAAGACGGAACACCTCAAATTTGATATTCGAGAATATGAGGAGGAGAACGAGGACCTCTGCAAACGCATTCAGGAAACTAGTTCCAAGTTGAGAGACAAGGAAGCTGCCTGTGAAAGAGTGAGTTTTGAATTGTTATTCTATTGTTGAAGTCTTAAATGTTTCTCTCTCTCTAAATACGGTGTTGGCATTTTATTTTTCGAATTTATATAGGAGATTGAAATTAGGATCTGAAATTTAAGCCTTCAACTAGAATATTTGTGCATTAATCCGTAATAAATCCGAGTATTGTGTTACCTAAAACAATTTGAAATGAATTAGCACGTGAAGCCTTCACCAGGGTAAGGAAACGTAATTCTGTTTTGAGGATCAAAAACCCCTTTCTAGTAATCGCAACTTCATTTTCGCCGTGTAGTATTTAGGGAAAATTTTTTTTTTTTTTTGCATTCCGATTGGCTTAGGTGTCGTTGGCCAGATTTTGCTGGGTAGAACAAAGTCCATGAATTCCTCGGTGGCACATCAAGTGAAATGCCAGTTTTTGAAGTTAGGAGTCCATTAATGTCCACTTTGGGGGGAGTGGGGGGAGGGGGTGGGGTAGTGGTGGTGGTGGGAACAAAGTGACCCAACAGTACTGGCTAATTTTTGGAGTAGATAAATTAGATTTTCTTAACAGGCGGGTTCATGATGTTCCCCCCCCCCCTCCTCCCATATGAGTTTTTGAAAACGCTTTCTAAAAAAGAATAGTTGCAATACCCAAGCGCTGAAAATAAATTGCTGCTCTCTTTTTACTTGACGGTGATTAAGATCTCGTTCCCTCCTGCCACATTGATACTACATGAAGGAGTGGGGTGGAGGAGGGAGGNGGGGGGGGGGGGTTGAGGATTAGCGAAGGGTTGTGAAAAATGTTCCTCCATGAATTGATTTAGCCTTACAGCCAAGTTATTATCGAGGTCATATAAAAGTACCTCAAACTTATGATTTGTACTTCTTGTGCCCTCCAGTCCGCCTACCATCTCTCTCTCTTCCCACACTATCTCATTTGATTAGTACCTCAATTCCTTTCGGGGTCAGATTATTTCGGTCTTGTCCGGTCGGGGGGGGGGGGGGGGGGGGGGNGGGGGGGGGGGGGGGGGGGGGTGGGGGTAGAATGTATCCGTAGGCCATCAAGAAACTGACCAGTGGCCTTTTTCCTGTTAATTTATTATTTCGCTTCGCAATCAAATGATTGGGGAAATTAGATGGGAAATTTCATACTATTTTTGTATGTGTACTACCGTCTTGTCTTCCTGGCTTACGTGAATTCCTTCGCTATTTGATGGAGTCTGCCGGGTTTGATGCGGAAATGTCAATTTTGACTTTTCTTTTCAATTGAAAGGCATAACGCTTTTTACCCTCTTACTGGGTTGTGTTACGGTTATTTAATTATTTATATTAAATGGCAGACGTTTTGATAGTTATCATTAGCCCTTTAGCTGGTTTCGGAAATCACAGAGAGGAGGTGGAGGACCATCAAAGTCAAAAAGTGCAGAGGGGGATGTGATAGACAGGCACAAAGGCCGAGAAAAGGTAAGATGAGTACTGTGGAAGTAGTCGAATGTGGCATACAATGGGGTCACGGTAGCTTGAAGTCAGAAGTCAACAACCGGTTTTATAGACCTTTGCCATTTGAGTATACGTTGCCCAGGGTGCTCCATGTGGAGGTAAGTCTATTGCACACCCCAATTCTATTGTAATAAAAATGGACGTACTGATGTCAAGAATTCATTTGCTATCTGAGCGAGTTCGGATAACAATGTTTACAGCCAGAAGTTTGAATAGTAATCTGTGCACTGATAGTACGGTGGGCAACTTGCATATCTGTTGCTACTCTTGTGATATGGATCACCATCCACACTTGTTAATTTCGGTTAACATGAGACGATATAGCATTCTTTACTCTTACTTTGGTTATTAAATTTTGAGTACACTTCTCTGCTCTACGTTTCGTTCTTGTGAAGTAGAGAAATTGTTCTGAGTTGATTTTAGAGATGCGTACCGAGATTTTAAAAAATATCCTTTCACTTTTTTCCTTTACTTGGTGCATTTCTACTTTGGATGTTCTTAAGATATTACCATTCCTGCTAAGCTAACTATGAAATCTTGCAGACTATCATAGAGCTATGCCTTCTTACATCCAATCCAATTGCTTACCATTCTTTCCTTCCTTATAGCTTCTCAATGATCTGGACGAAAAGCGAGCTGAGTTGGCAGCTCAGCGCAAACTCCTGGATGAGTACATTCAGCAACAATCTACGAAGGGTCCTTTACTTGCCACCATAGTTGCCTCCGAGAGTAATCATTCCAACGGTTTCTCGACCGCCAAAACTGGCGACACACTGGCCGCCACAACACCGTCCGCCACTATTGCAGAGTTGGAACTGAAACTTCGAGATGCTCTCACCTGGGCTGAGGAATGTGAAGCCAAAATGGCCAACCAAGAGACCTATTGGGCTGATCAGAAATTGCGTTGGCAGAGAGAGCGATCAGATCTGCAGGATAGAATTAGGGAGATTGTTCTTGAGAGAGTATGTCTCAATATATGGTTTGCGCGTACGCTCGTGTATGAGGTTGAACTGAAGGTCCAGTGTTGATTTGAATGATAATTGTGAAAAAAACGTGGCCCACGGCGTATACTGGCACAATGGGACAGAAATTTTCTAGAATTTACTCAGTGGTTGGTCGAAAAACAATAAGAGGGTTTGAAATCGAAAATCATGTATAGAATCACGCAGACTTAGTTTCATATACTAGCCAACCGAAGGGGGACTTTTCCCTCCACGCACACTTGGTGGGAGGTTTGGGGAAATCGATAATCAAATATGGACGCACGTAGCACAACGCGATAATTACGGGAATCAGGTCGGCAGGCGTTAAACAGTCAAGCTGGTTGTGATTGGCATATGTTGTTCCTTTTTAGGTTGGGGGGTGGGGGGGGGGGTGGGGAATGAGTAATTTATTCTCCACTTAGCCTACGCTTACCTACCGGCTACATGGGCGTTTTCTCTCCAACGTTTGTGTCGTTGTGCGCTTCCACTCCCGTGTCCGAGGGACTTACTCATTGACCCATATGAGAACTCACTCCTATATGTGTACATATATATATATATATATTGTTCGGTTTACCTGCAACTTTCCCGAGTCCAGAAATTGGTTGTGTAGGTGCTTTTAGTCTCTTTGTGTGAGGATATTTTGGACCAGATTAAGATAGGAAATTTGGAGCAACGGGAAGTTTTCAACCCTGGAATCTAATTTCTGACCAAAAATGAAAGAGGAGGGAAGGGTGGGGTGGGGGAGGGGTGCGGGGAGGTGTATCAATAGATATACCTCATGTATCCTGTTTGCTCGAATTCGCCCTGGCAAGCTTAAATTTTACTTGACTTAAAGATACCAATTTGACAGATTAAGAATTCTTTAGGAATTGACAGATTGTTTTACGATTTGCTCTATTACATTAAGAGAAGATTGTGTAGACGTGCGTAATATTTTCTGGAATAGAGAACACCGCGTTTTGTTTGCCTTACTGCTTAACCTTTATTGTCGTGTTAGCTATTGTAGGTCAAATGAGGTTAATATGAACTCACAGGTACGTCACTTAGTCGCTGAATACGTTAGTTTCCTCATAGTAACATGCGTTAAAACTTTGGCACATAGTACGACCAACCCGGGCAATTCTGATTATATTTTTCCTTCAATAATCGTAATTTGCACGATCGTTCATTTGAAATAAATAAATACTTATTTCCTATACTCCCTGAAAATTTTATTCTTACTTACATTCTATTTTGCGCCTTCTCGGTAGTTTGCAATTGGCCAATCAGATCATTAGATTATGAATAGAGATTTCAATGGCATGTGCGGCTGTGTTTACTTGAAATATTATAACTCTCTTCTCAATACAAAAAAATCGGACTATCGGCATTTCAATCGTAGCTTTCAAACCTATCACCCTTTCCCGTTGCAGAATTCATAGGTTTTTGACGTCCAGTTAATGGAATGTACGAATCCCACCCCCACATAAATTTATCTCCTTTCAAATTTTTTTCGGAAAGCAAACCATTAACCTTTTGCCTCTGCCTAAAGTTTGTCGAAAGTTCGAGAAATAGGAAGGCATAACTTCATGTTAGAAAGAGGAAGATTACGTGGGATATTGCCATCATTTTACATGCTCAACTTACCTCCGTCGACAGTTGATTAAAATCTGTAGGCAACATTTTGAATCATTGGGTAATTTGATTAGAATTTGGCGTACTTCAGTTGTGTTCCTTGGCTCCCAACCTCTGATATTATTGTCCATTTCTGTCGATGGAAATAAATATAGTACTTAATTCAAATTCAGTCCAATTGATGAATCCCTGTAGCGTAAAAGAGCTACTTTACATTTGCCTGAAAAGGGCAAATCTGGAATATCCTTAACGGAATTGCGTTTTAATGATTCCACAGCTCCTTATCAAATTTTTGTCTCTTGTTCTTGCAGACGAGTTTCCTAGAATGTGAATTGCGTCAGGAGCGGCAACGTTGCTCTGCCATGGAACAGCGAGTTATGATTTGGGAGAATCAACTGGTCGAACTTATTGCAATGGCTGACAATGAATGGGCTGTCAGTGACAATCTTCATGTAAGTTTTTTTTCCTTTTTTTAACATTCCAGTTGGGGGGCAGTTGAGACCTTTGATTAATGAAACCTAACTTTAACTGCACACATTCTTACTGTCAGTTTGAGAGATTTTAAGGAAGATGCGAGGATTCCTTTAATGAATCTACGGCTGGTTTTTTTTGAAAATTCGCCCGGGGCGGTTAAACGGAAAATTCCATTTTTCATGAAACTTCCCGGAATAAGCGCCCATGGGGAGATTCAAGCTTCACTCCACGGGCTCTTATTCGATTGGGTGGACTTTCGGAAAACCTCGATAATAGTCCTTATTCCCTCATTCTTTACGTCTGTTAAATTTCCATCTTACTGCCTTACGTGGATTCTAGAGTATCTCCTTATTGTGTTAGAATGTCAATTTGAATGGTAGAGGTATCTTGGTAGTTCTTTTTTATGCCACACAGTTATTTCACAACTTCCTAGCCAAGCATAGGGTTGATTGCAATCTGGAAGTATGCAAATTGTGTTCCTTCTAGCGAATACGTTTCTTCTAAACGAAGTTTGATTTACTTTTGAAACGCCTGGTTGTGTTGCCGCATCAGTTCGTCATAATTTCAATTCTCAGCACGTGTGAGTTTATTACTACGGCAATATATTTATTTATTTATATCAAATGGCAGGCGTTTTGATAGTTATCATTAGCCCTTCAGTTGACTTCAGGCTTCACAGAGGGGAGGAGGAACATCAAGGTGAACAAAGACAGAAAAGTTATTCACAGATGTAAGAGACAGACAGACACAAAGGTAGAAAAAAGGCGAGGTGAGTACTGTGGAAGTAGTCGAATATAACATAGAGTGGGGTCATGGTAGTTAGAAGTGAGAAGTCAACTGTCACTTTGCCGTATGAGTATACGTTGCCCAGGGTGCACCACGTGGAGGTAAGTCCATCGCACACCCCACTACGGCAATATTAAAGTGTAGTAGTATTTATAAAAAGTTTCAGGATTTCAATCTCAGTATGAAAATCGGTTATCGCACGCTCTTCACCAAGCTTCCCAAAATAAAATATAAAAATCACATGTGAATTTAGCCTCTCTTATTTCAATTTCTTTCATTATGACTTTTGTTTCCTCCAATCTGTATTTCTTGGTTATAAGTAGTATGTGAAGAGGTAAAGGCTTCATCCTGATTTTGCTTCTACAGGATACGGTACTCCATCTCATGTCTGAGCTTCAACGCCTCCGCAACGGTTCTCCCGATATCACTGACTACGAAGAGGAGAAGCATCGTTCACACTCCGGAGTCCCACCGCCTCATCCCTCACCAAACACCGCGGTCTCTCTCAACGGAAGTGGAAGCCTAGGTTCTGCGGACTGGCGTCTAAAGAAGGCCGGTCGTATTAGCAAAATGGAACGATCTAATCTCCAGTTGGCTCTCAACAACGAGATTCGGGAACGTGAAATTGCTCAACAGAGGGTCAGGGAACTTGAGATCCAACTCGAAGAAGCCACATCGTTAGTGGTTATCCCAATTACTTTTATCTTGTCTGCTTATCTGTGTGGTCGAATTGAATGTGTTAAATTGAGATTACACAATGGGTGATCCTCATATTGTCAAGGAAATGAGAATCAATACCCGTAACCGTGCACGCGTATTGTATCGATTCCTATTTGCTCTAAAAATCGATACTAGCACATGTGCGTGTGTGCGTGTTAATAACAACACACGATTGAAAAATCGATAAATTGTGTGTCCACCTATTATCATCATATGATAAATCTAATTAATTCTAACTTCAATGCTCCCCCACAAAATCCTTCATTTAATTATTCATTCTTTCCTCTTAGGCGATTGGCGGAAATGTCCGATAAGCTTCTTCAAACAGAGAAGGACAAGGAAGCATTGAGAGATCAACTTGTTAAAGGTAAACAGACTTTTTATTAGACCTGATAAAATTAAATCAATTATCCATGATATTCTGCGCGCTTAGAAGTTGAGTGGTTGTTGCTGTTGGAGCTTATTTTGCAATTTCTTTGGACATCTGCACTATTTCCTACGCAAGGTGTGAAGATAGCTTTCCAATATCAAAAGTTATACAAATTTATCATTTGTTGTAACGCCTTGTTTGAAAGTTACCCTAAATTAAAATTTTGAAACCTTTTATTTTGAATGGGACATTAAAGAAGTCGATTTGTGTTTTTCCCATGCACAGATTCGGGTAATATGATCCTCTATTCATTACTTACCATCCAATTATAACTCTGATCTAGTTAGATTCTTCAGTGTCTCCTGTGTATACTCGAGGTAACAACTAGCGTCGCCTTTTTTTCAATATCTACCAGACTCGAGCTATACCCCTCTGTTATCGCTTCCTCATTATGTCGTACTATGTTTCGCTTTGTAATTAAGCTTTTTTTGCTCTTCCTAATTTACTCCTAGTTTTTTACGATGCGTATGTATTCAGTTTGCATTGTGCGGTGAATGCATGAGTCATCCGCGTTCTTGGGCCCAAAAGGTCATCTTTATTTCCTGCCTTCAATCATTTCACTGGGCTTTTTTTATTAGACATGGTGTTTGAACACATATTCTTAACAGATGCAGTAAACGGTACTCCCGAAGAAGAGCTGACCCATTTATCATCCTTTGCTCTGCCAACATTTAATCCACAATCTATTTTCTATCCCATTTCTTGGAATTCTCGTTGTTTTGCTGTTGTAGGATGCAGTTTCAATATTTCTCTATTGAGTTCTAAGGTAAATTTTGACTATAGTTACGCAAGCGACGGTTCTTTGTTGAGAAAGTGGAGTTGTATTTTTATCAGAATTGGACCTACTGAAGACTATTGACTGTGCCCTGTTAGTTCCAATACCAGTAAGATTTCATTCCCTGGCACAGTGCTCGAAATATGACCTGACCTCTCAATAGTATTGGTTTTCAATTTTCGAAAAATGTGCTTCTTTATTTTCTATATCGATCTGGGTCTGAAGTGCCCAAGTCCTTCTAGCATTTCTTATTTTTAATCTATTTTCAGCATATCCATTTCAAACTTAACTAACCTTGTCCTATCATTAATTTATTTACTCCAATGTCACTTTTCACTGATTCACCAAGTGCGCCAAATTTTGCAGTTGAAGTGCAAATTTTAGTGTTTTGATACTTATTTTTTCTTTCTTTCTTCCAAAAATTTGTTGTAAGCTCTCTCTCTCTCTCTCTCTCTTGTTCTGTGTTTTTACCCTTCTCTCTATGTTCCATTCGCGCGGTTAGTCATCGTCGAAATCTCCGACGCCATAATTTACAATTACTGCTCTCTCTCTCGCTTTTTTCTTAGACGACACGCCGGAACTTCAAATTTATTCTGACCCACTAAATATTTCTTTTTGTACTATTCTGCCTATTAAAAAAGGGGATTAAAAAGCGCTTTTAAAGAACCCTTGATTTTGTGGTTGATCATCCGAAACTAGAGCAACCACCTCTTTCCTTCTTCTTCTTCTTCTTCTTTATGATCTTGTACTATTAAAGTGCACTTACATCCCTCCTTCTCAAGTTCACTACTCTTTGCCCCCC